AAAATTGGTGATGATTCTTCATGTAATAGGCTGCAAGATTCATTGTTTCAGGAGACAGGACCAAGAATGCCATTGCGCAAGGATTAATATTTCCTCGTCTAAAAAGTCAAGCTAGGATTTAAAGCTGACCTGCCATCTATTTCATTTGTTGAAAAATACGGGTCATGGGTAGCCCCTATGGGGTAACCCGACATACAAGACACTAATGGGGTTGGAGGAAATGAGTTGAACTTGAAATTCAAACCTATAACTCCCAATAACCACATTTAACTCCCATTCAACCTCCAATGATTATTGCATAGAAAAAGGGAGAGAAAAGATGGCAAGAAACAATGAAATTCGTATGTCAAAATACACCAAAACTGGAAAAGCACTAAAATTACTATTCTGGCTTGAAAACTCACAAAATAAGACACTTAGAATGTGCATAATAATCCCATTCCATTGTAATCTAGATTGAGACCATTGGAGTGCAAAAAAATATATTTCGAAGTTTGGAAAGCAACGTGATTCAACAATTCAAGAGATTCTGGAACTCATCATTTCGAGTAAGAATTCTTAACCCGTAATTTATGATTATTCATCCTGGGAATTTTTATATTGGTATCAGAGTCATAATGTTGAATTCTTTGTTGTAATACATGCTTAAATATGTTACTACATGATTCAATTGAGTTATGAATCTTGTATGTAAAGTTTTGAAACCTTATCTGATTTTGAATGACATATTTTGATATACATGTCTAAAATTAACGAAATTTTGAAATTATGTAGATAATCTGCTTTAGAATTCACGTGTAAATTTTCAACTTTTTTCGTTATTGCATTTGGGACCTAATCAATTTTGTAGAAATTTTTAAATTTTACTGCAATTTATTCGTTGATTTTCATACACTAGTATTAGTATGGTTAGAAAAGTACTTCAATGAGCTTTTCAACTATATAAAGAACTTAAATTTTGAACTTAAAATGAAGAAGTTATGGCATCCCGAAATTTGGATTAAAATATGATTTTTTTGGGTGAAATTTGATAAAATTCGAAATTTCATCACATGATGACTTCTTATACACTATGTTTCATGCTTTACATTTGATATGGTTGGATATATTTTCTCAAGACCTTTCTAATGAAATAAAGATCATTAGTTTTGGCATTGAAATGAAGAAGTTATGTCGAAAATCTAGAAATTTTGCTTGAATTTTTTGTTATTCATTCTTGAACAGATTTGTTGATGTCCCAAATGCGGCTTTAAACATTGATTTTGTAAAATTCAACCATACAGATGAACTCAGAACAACGAAATTAGTAGGAATGACCAATGAA